GGGGGGGTGCACATGTACAAAAAATATTTCAAATATCATCAGAGGCTTTTTCCTGAGTAGGAAGAGGAGGAGAGAGGGTCTGGGTAGAGACTGCACACAGAGAAGTGACTTTATACAGATTTGCAGGTTGTGAGCTACCCAAAATTTCCTCTTTTGGATGCCTCCTTTTCAAAAATAATCCTTTACCTGTCAAGAAGCAGAGACAATCAGTGGGTCCCTAAAAGATGGGGCGCTGAGTTTGATAAGAAAGCCATCAGGGCAGGGGCCTTACCAAGCCGGGTCCCACCCCACAGTACCTCAGCAGGGCATGCCCAGGGGTGGGAGACAGGTTCAACAACATGAGCAGATCATCAGGAATGTTTGTTATGCTGAGGGAGCTCTGTATCAAGCCAGACGGTCAGCCCATGTGTGAGGATCCAGATCACCAGAGTTGATAGCAAGGCACAGGCACAGCAGTGACTGAGTGGCCACCTCAACTAGAGCTCCCAGGCCCATGGGCAGAGGGTGTGGGTGGAGCCCTGGGTGAGGCTGGTCAGTGTTGTCAAGGTCTACTAGGGCACTCAAGCCCTGGACACTCCATTAAACTACAAAATCTTAAAATGAGCTTCCTAGTCTAGTTCCAGGACCAGATCTCTTGCAGGAGACTTGCTCTGATAAAGACATGACTTCAGCCTGAGCAGGAAAGTTTTCTTTCAGCAGAGATGAAGAGACAATTCGTGCACTTTAGGGAGAAGCCTCACAGCAAATCGCATCCATAAGTACATTTCAAACAATATTTTTCCCACATTGCACCAATTATGCTGTTGCCGAACCTTCTGATTCTGAAGGACTGGGAGGTTTCTGTGACAAATGCTATCATCAATGTTGCATTAAAATGCAAAATAGAAGAAGCAACCAAAAGATGCAATTTCAGCTCCTGAAATTTACAATACTAGTTTATTTTGCTGCTGTTCATTTTTATTCAAAGGGGTGGAGAGAAAAGGTAATTATTCTTGTCAAACTCTCCAAAATAATCAGCTCTTTTTCATAAGGAAAACACAATACAATGCTGCTGAATTTTCACCTGAATTTAATAGTTAGGAACGTGTGGAGTGAGTGATGCTGTCTGGATAAGTGGATGGTACAGGAACACTGAGTCACAGTGGCAGACCTCAAAGCCTATGATTTTATTCTCAGCTGAACCTTTCACCCCAACATTTCTTTTGCAAATAAACTACCTTAATAATTTACATAGATACTCAGAGAAAAAAAAAAATGCAGTGAACCCACAAATATAGAATCAACTATTTATACTTAGCTTTTATATATGTATTTCAGCAGATCCAGGATTTGAGTACTCTTTTTTTAGGCAGAACAATGACATGTAATTTAGTTCCAGTTAATTTTGACAGTGAAGGATAATTAAGAACTATTTCTCATATAGTGCCTAAGGAAAGTAGTCATCTCCATAGCCTCTATTACACTCAGTGTCACTTGGAAGGTTAGATGACCTTATGCATTGAGAACTGTCAAAAAGTGCCGAGGTCTTCTGAGTCCTCCCATCCAAATTCACATTTGTAGTTAGAGGTGTGGGAGGAATCAGGTCCTTGCAGACAGATACTGCCTAAATATATTATGTATATATTTTCCCCACCTGCCTCTAACGTTCCAGTAAAGGGTTCTTCCTCAATAGTCTGTGATTGTGCAGCCAAAAATGTCTCTCCTGCCTAAAATGGCCACATAACCCATAGGTTTTGCAGCACTAGGTATCTCTGACATTGATGGTTGTCAACTGCTCTTACTCCTGACAGTGCAGAGATCATAGCCCACCTCTTTTCAATCACAACACTCTAACATACCAGCATGAAGACCAAATTAACAAGCAAGGAAGAGGGAAGGGGAAAAAAAGAGATCCCAGCAATGACTGGTGCTCACTACCCAATTTGTGTTCTCTTTCAAAAAAAAAATGTTCAACATATCACATGCTCTTTAGAAACTAATATGCTGATCATTGGAAAGAAAATTAGAGACCAAAGTGTGGGGTTTTTAATCAGCATGCAAGCTGTATCTACTGTGCCTTTCAGTCACTTTGCAATAGCAAAACCATTTTGCTTGCTGTTCTCCATTGGAAATAATGTACAGGTATTTCTAGCATAGCTATGATGGAAAATTAATTAATAATAATTAGAATGCTACTTATCACTTATTCTGCACAATTTTTTTGAGCTTTAAGACCTTTGCAAGTATTATCTAATTAAAACTTGCTTCCCATTTATTTGTTACCAGTCTTTGGTTGGCAGGTAAGTGACTCCAATTTACCATCCTTTACAGAGGAGGAAACTGAGAGACAGATAGGTGCAGCCACTTGGCCAAAGATACAGGCAGATCAGTAAAGGATTTTAACTCAGGAATTCAGAAGCACCAAGCGATACAAGAACAGCATTTCTTCATCATGTTGTCTTTAGACTTCCCTTCATTTGGTATAGTGAAAAGCACTGGTAGGTGATGGAAGATGGCATTAAAACACCTTAGACTAAAATGGCCAAAGGAAATATCAATATCCTAGATTTCTAGGCCATTGGAAAACAGACTCCGAATGGAAAGTAAACTATTTATCACTTCTAATCTGCTGATGCATTCCCTTTGTCTAAAAAACCTTGTACTGCCTGGAATTTAGTGCCCTTGTTTTATGTGCCTTGACCTTCTTTCCTCTCTCAAGTGTAGCTGCTAAGTGCAATATGTTTTAATAACACCTTGGTTCAAAACACATAAAAAATAAAAAAAATCAGTATTTAACAGTTTCTGAGACATGGCTGTCACTTTGGGTCTGCCACATTGAAAATGCACAACACAACTTCCTTTCCAAGGGCCAAATGCAGGTTAAGGCATATTTATTGCCCAGATTGCAGGCACAATCCCAGCCAAAGCAGAATATTCCCATAGCCATCCTCCTATTAAGGCCTTCAGTCATAATGTAAAAGTCAGTTGTTCTCAGACTGAGATTTGTGTCTCAGCCCTCTCTTGGAGATATCCCTAGAACTGCTAAGCCTAAAATGATGATTTCACCTAATGTTGTTATACAGATATTGAAAAGAGAAGACCCAGTTTTGGCACTACTATGATCACCAAACACCCAAGTCTTTACTGGTGAACCAAGAACAAAACACTCCACGTACCTCATTACTATCTGTGAACTGACTGCTGGCTGAAAAAGCTGGAGTTTAGATAATATGCTGAGAATGAGCCACAGAACCAAAGGCACAAGCACACTGTCACCAATTCAACATGCTGCTATTGTTCCTGAAATAATTTGCCAGAAAGGAATATTATTCAGTGCATAAAAGCTTCCAAGACAGCAAGTGAATTAGGTGATCTTATAGTAACTGCAACTCTGTTTATCATGGGTGTATCCTGTCACTTCACAGAGAGGCAATAAAATAGAGCAGAAGTGTCACTCTGCTTCCTTTTGACAAGAGCACTGCTAATATTCTCCGTAACATAAAAGCTCTCCTGAGACATATGGGAAAGGTACATGATGACAGAGCTCTGCCACAACATTCATCTTTATGAGTGAACTATCCTATCTTCAGTGAAGATGAATGTCAGCAAAGATCAGTCAACATGCATCACCCAGACATCATGAGCTTGTGCCTTTCCTCCCACCGTCCTTCAGCTCAGAGGTTGCTCTCAATAAAAGCTCTGCTGCAAAAGCAATTAAGGGCATCCTTGAGTACCCTTTTACCATATTTATGAAAAAATCCTTGTAAAAGTAATTTGATGAGGTTCCCTTCATCAAAATGTGCCAGTCCCACCCCAGGATACCTGTGACCAAGGTGAATGGAAGTGAAGTGAGCTCATTGCCCAAGACACAGGCAACATGGTACCACTATAGAAATCCCACCTCCTCCTATACTGAGTCAAAGTCTGAGCAACTCCTCAACATACTTTCTTCACATTCCCTCCCACCCACAATTTCATGTGACTGGGAATCCCTATTATAATAACTGAAATAAAAAGATAGTTTCAGGAGCGGTGAAGGTGCATCTGTGAGTCCATGTGAATTATTACATATACAAAAATGTGTAAACCTGGAGTAAACAGTAAATATTGTCATCCTAGATGAATGTGTTGACATCTAATTCAATGTACAGCTAGGAAACAGAATATTCCAAATCAATAAAAGCCTGCTCTCTCACATATTACGAGCAAGAATCTGATTACAAGCTTAATTGTACAATCATGGCTTAATCTCAGAAGTCAGTTGCTGTTTAATCACTGCACAATTAACTGCCTTGTGAACAACATGAGAAGCCATTGCCATGGAAGTCAGTGTGTAAAGTTTGCCCAAGAAGAAGCCTGTACTCTCAGAAGCCAGAGGTTACAAGCAAGCAAAGAGAAGTCACTGCAACACAGTATGTTAGCTCTTGAGGTAGAAAAGGTTGGGTGAATAAAGGTTAGTGAGGAGCACTTGGAACAAAATAAAACAGCTACGTAAATTGGTACAGACAAGATGCCAGATTGAGAGAGGACAATCTGATCCTTCAGCCCTTTCTCACTTCCCACCCCTCCCAATCCACACACCCCATACCCCCCCTTTAAAAAAAAAAAATCTGAAAAAAAGAGAAGTAAATAAAAGGGATTACAACAGAGAATTGGAGTGACTTTGAATTCATTTGCATCAACATCATTTTAAGGCTCTGCTACTTCTGGAAGGCAGCCCACTGTCACTGTTTGGATATATTGTCTCATCAAATCTACTTGTGAACATAACCACCTCTGAACATAACAACAAAACTGTGAACAACAACACCAATACAATTTCTTATAGAGAGAAAGCCCATTATTTCACATCTGTTTCTAAAATCAGCCTAATCCCATGAATTCCTGAAGGCAGTACCACATAGAACACCAGAAAAGTTCAGCTCTGTCCTGAGAGCACTACTTGCCATGACAGACAATTATCATTATTTTTAACTGTGTTAACACTTTCTATTTTCTTTTATTTCCCTGCCTGTCTGCAGTCATTGGGTAGCCAAAGCCCAGTGCTCCAGTTGCAAGATACTGTGACAAAGACCAGACTTTTGGCTTGTTTATATGGTGCTTAATGCAGTATCCATTGCAGTATCAGGTAGTCCTGAGACACCAGGGCATTTTGGTGGCTCAAACTGATGAATAGGAATCATGATTTAAAAAAGTAAATGGAAAAACAAACAAAAACAACATTAAAACTTGTCACTCAGGCATTCTCAGCCCCAGATTTCAGGTCAGGAAAGGCTGGGCTGGGACAAAATAGTTAATTAACACCAAGTGCGGTAGTATTTGATTACAAAGTATGTAAATATCACTCATCATGCTCTACTAGTTTATCCTCAACATGTGACCTCTTTTTTTTTTTGTTTTTTCCCAGTGCAGGGCTCCTTTTCCTGCTTGTACCTCAAGAGGCTACATCATTCCCAGACATCCCACTCAATGACACTCAACCAAATGCATTTATTCACGCCTGCAATTCTCCTACTTGTTCTATTCTGTCCCCCAGACTTCAACTCTGCACAGATTTTCTCATCCAAAACATACCGATTATTTTAGTTCTGAAACCTTTTTCAATCATCATCATTCAAAGAATTAATAAATGTCATGGAGAACATTTTTGGAAGCCTTGAGAAAATAAAGCAGGGTTCAGTCAGTCTACTGAAACCTCAAGCTCCACGCTTGCCTCCTATGCCCATAATAACCAGAGTGAATCAAGGATCAGTATTCTGCATAAAAGTGAGATACCCAAGTGAGAACGTTTCTCATCTGAGTCAAGCTCCAGCTCAGACAAAAGTTAAAGATGAGACTGATATAGTATTTTTCTTCTGAGGCTCTGACACACTGTAGAAACACCCTGAAACAGGGAACTTGCATAAATATCAGCACTGAGCTTATCAAAACTCCCAAAGGGCAGTGAGTAAGTCAAACCCCTACTGTTTCTGCTGTCAGGACAAGGTCTGTATGGTGCCAGTAAGTGAGGTCCATGGAGCAGCTTGCCTACTAGGATGCAGGTTCCAGCTTTGCAGAGAAGGGAAACTCATGAAGATGCTAAAGTATAGATTCTCAAACAAATAAATAAATGTCTGTTTCTATAAAAATGTTTATATAGGTGTATGTAGTGTATATACACATACACACACCCTCCAAACACCCTTACCTATATGCTAAGACTTTCTTTAGCTCCTACAAAAGTCAGAGTACGCAAAACAAAAACAATGATCCCATCCAGATAATTTCTTCCTGGAGAGGGAAAAAAGCCAACTACACTACTTCTGTGGGTTAAGCTTTCTCATATTTCTGGCTGCATCAGCAAGGTTTGAGCACTCCCCACTCCTTTTCCTCCTCCTTCCCCCTGGGGAGATGAATTCTGCACATGCCCTCTATCTCCCCAGGCATCTAACACAGAGACCTCGCTTGTAGCTGTTTTCTGAAGGTGGAAGCACATAACACATTGAACTAGTGCCAATTTAGAGACATCTGAAACAAGTGGCACTGGTCAAGGTTAAAACATCAGTACAGTTAACAGGAGGGGAACAAAGGGGAAAGGAAGCCACACATTATTCACCAAAACTACACTTACTTGTAGTAACAGATATCATGGCCTGCCCGAAGCCACCGAGGTCGGCCCTGGAGAGCTTCCTTCACTGAATACATGACTGGCTGCATGCCTACATAAAACAAGACAGTTTCAAGTGACATGACTTCCTTGGCTGGAAAAGACAAGGGTGGGGAGGAAAAGGCTAAACAAGAAGCTATTTCATCTGTGCTCTCTCTGCAGATAGTTTATTCAAAGTAAATGCATTTCCCAAAGCCCCATGCCTTGTTCTGACATTGCCACGTTTGTACAAAAGGAGTACAGGCAGAAGAAATGAACTAAATGGATTTCATTAGAAAATAAATTATCCTTCTGGCCTTTGCAAAGGAGAACATCAAGCCACTCTGTTTACAAACAGCAAAAGGGAAAGAAAATGATAGGAATCAAGGTATCAACAAGATCAGTAATTTGTTTAATCCAATATTTTATGCTTGGCTGCACCATTATTGAAACTTTAATCCTACCTCAGCATTAGAGGGCTGCAGTGCATCCAATACCGTTCCATCAGAAAGGAGCTATCAAAACTTGAAGAAGGTGTTAAACCTACCATTAAACCCAAATAACACCTGTGTGGCATAAACACTGATAACTGTAGCGTACATCTTTGTATTGTACCAGAAGATGACTTCCTCCTGACCTCCAAAAAATTAACATTTCACGCCCCAAGGTACGAGGCTTTCTCTAATCCAAGATGCACATATATTACTCACAGCTTTGTGAAGCCAGCTCATCTGGAGGCAGTTTTTGTGTCAAATTCCTTTGCTCTCCACACCTGCCTGCTCTTTTACAAGTCCACTAAGGATCCTGACCTCACCAGTGAAGCTCTCTACTCAGAGTGTCCTTGCTGAGGTGCTGGTGGTTAGGGTCTAGAGGGGTGGCCTCTGCCCCAGGGTGGTGCCAGCCAGCTCCAGTGGATCCAGCAATGGCTGAGCCCAGCAATCATGTTGGCAGCACTTCTGAGAAAGCATATTTAAGAAATAGAAAAACGCCCTTCCAAGTATTTATGCATGTTGATAAATTGTCCCCTGAGCCTTCCCTTGGCTGTTCTTGTGCTTGGAGGAGGTGATGCTTGAAAATCATTAATACTGATGACATATTTCAATAGGCAGCTATTTAGTTTCCCTTCTTCCTTTGGGTTTCTCTATTAAACTCTCTAGCACTTTAAGAGCTGGCAAGTGTCCCGGCAGAAATGCCTTTCCAGCTCACCTTTGGCTGTGGTGTAGTGTAGCACTAACTAGCCTACAGCTAGGAATAACCTCAATATTACTGTTTCTTGAACCACCACTGAGAGCCATGTACAGGAATGAAACTCTGTGTTTAGTTCCAGGACATGGTTCACACTGAATTTCCATAGACACAGGCTGCTCAGAAACCCAGTTCATCAGACAAGGGATGTGAGGCTCAAGGTCTGCTGTCCTCTCAACATCCCAAATGCCAGCTCCTGCCCTGCTCTGTGAGTGCAAAGAGCACATAGACCCCAAACTGCCTCAGAGCAATGGTTGGCACTCTCATGGTCTGCCATCTCATTTTAATAAAAAAAAGAAATAAAATCAGTTTCCCTA